TGGTTTATTCTAGAGCATTGCCTCACTTCTCTATTTTTCGAGATTTCACTAAATTTTCGCAACACAAGGGGTTTTCTTATCTAGTGACGAACCCCATGACAAGATTCTGGCTGTCTAGACAAAGTGGAGTTTCCTGGGCAAAGGGGAGAAGGGGCAAAGAGAATCAAGGGTCAGTTGGTGGCACTTCTCCTTGCACTGAGCAGTCCGGCGACCTGAGAGCTGGAAAACGAGCAGCATTAGCCTTGCACAGAAAAACCATCCTCTGGACAGGATACCTCCAACTCTGGCCAGTCATGCCAGAAATACACCAGACTGTGGAGTCCAGGGGGCTGGGAATGGATCAGCTTGTAGTCCCTGCAGCCTCCAGCAGGTGGCCTTTCACCGGGTAGGTATTAGAGACAAATCCCTCCACTGAGTTTATGGGGCCTTTGCTCTACTGCAAGTTAGATGCTTTTCACATTTAAAAAAAAAAAAAAAAAAAAAAAAAAAATATATATATATATATATATATATATATATATGTTAAGTATTTATTTATTGAAACAAATTTCCACCTTTATTGAGGTATATCTGACAAAACTGTAAGCTGTATAAAGTGTAGGACATGTTTTGATAGACCCACACAAGATGAAGGGACTTCCCCAATCGAATTAACAGGCCCAACACCTCACATATTTACTTTTGTTTTGTGAGAATTTACATTTATTCTTAAAACAAGTAAGAAAATTAATTTCAGAGAGAGGAAGGGAGAGAAACACTGATTTTTTGTTCCACTTATTTATACAGTCTTGGTTAACTCTTGAATGTGCGCTGGCTGGGGATTGAACGTACAACCTTCAAGTATCGGGAGGATGGGCTAACCCAGTGGTAGGCAAACTGCGGCTCGTGAGCCACATGCGGCTCTTTGGCCCCTTGAGTGTGGCTCTTCCACAAAATACCACGGCCTGGGCGAGTCTATTTTGAAGAAGTGGTGTTAGAAGAAGTTTGTGTTTAAAAAATGTGGCTCTCAAAAGAAATTTCAATCGTTGTCCTGTTGATGTTTGGCTCTGTTGATTAATGAGTTTGCCGACCACTGGCCTAACCAACTGAGCAACCCGGCCAGGGCCACATTTATTCTTATTTAGATGACAACCACAGTTCTGAGAGGTGAATGCTATTCATTCCCATTTTATGGGAAAAGAGGCACAGAAGTGCAGGAACTCCCAAAAGCTGGTGAAGAAGACATGTCTGGTTTTGGTCTGAGAGAAACTCGAGGCACCCACAATATTATTTTGAGCGGAGGTCGATTGTCTGCCCACAGTGAGGACACAGAAGTAGCCTCAAGCAGGCAACACTGTCCTGGCCAGGTCTGCAGTTCTATTAGGAAAGTCTTGTGTCTGCTGAACTAGAACATCCGCCTGCCGTCTGCTACCCAGCGAACGGTTAACTAAGCAGTAAATTAAACTCTCGGTGGATAACAGCCCAACTTAGCTGGAGTTTAAATAGAGCGAGAGGGAACTACACTGGCAAACTTGACGCCCGATGAAGCTGATTTGAAGTGGCAGCTCCCTGTGACACCCTGCCTCTTACCAGTCGCTGGGGTTGCAGAAATCTTCTGTACAAGCCATTACGTTATTCATGAGAAAAACCCATCTTTCCCCAGAGACCTAGAGATTAGGAGCAAAGCCACATTTTCCCACAAATCCAAGGAGCATGAGCTTCCCACGGCTGACAGAAATCAGTAAGGTGCAGCTTTTGTCCTCCTGCCCTCCACGCACGTGGCCTGGGGGTCTGCCCGAGTATTTTCAGTTTTCTGAATTCTGGGCCTAAACACACTGTGTGTGTGTGTGTGTGTGTGTGTGTGTGTGTTTAAAATAGGAAGAGAGAGGGAAAGTCAGAAACATCGATCAGCTGCCTCTTGCACACCTCCCACTGGGGGTGTGTCTGCAACCAAGGTACATGCCCTTGACGGAATCGAACCCGGGACCTTTCAGTCTGCAGGCTGACGCTCTATCCACTGAGCCAAACCGGTTTCGGCTGTACTGTGTGTTCTTACAGAGGTGGTCAAGGATTCCGAGATGCTACACTTAAGGGCAAAGACCCTGTTCTCTAAAATTCCAATTCAATGCTTGTTCCTTTTTTCTTAGTGACTTTGGGTCCTAGGTAGCAGAGAGCAAATCTTGTCCATCTCTGCACCAGCATGTCACTCTGGGGATATCGGAGAGCAGTGCTTTTTTGAATCTCCTCTTGAAAAAGCCAGAAATGCTTGTTAGGCCATACCACGCTGAAGGCGCCTGGTCTGGAAAGCTAAAAGCCAGAGAGCTCATGAGGTTCATTCTCAGCGAGTCAGACATTCTTCTTCGCTGCCTGCATCATGGCACAAGCAGCCTTGGTTTCCTCATTGTTACAATGTAAAAAGCAGCCTCGGATTTTCCTAAGAGTGAAAACAGGGTCTGTCCCATATGAAATAGCAGGGAAGATGATTAAATAAGTATGGTGCATCTATACCACAGAGCTCTTAACTGATGGTTAAAAAGGCTAAGGTAGCCGAAACCTCAGTGGTAGAGCGTCGGTCTGCGGAATGAAGGGTCCCTGGTTCGATTCCGGTCAAGGGCATGTACCTTGGTTGCGGGCACATACCCGGTAGGGGGTGTGCAGGAGGCAGCTGATGGATGTTTCTCTCTCATCGACATTTCTAGCTCTCTATCTCTCTCCCTTCTTCTCTGTAAAAAATCAATAAAATATAATTAAAAAAAAAAGGCTAAGGTAGAAAATACATCTATACACACACACACATCCATCACTGGATACACAAAATGTGACACATACACACAATGGAATATTATTCAGCCTTACAAAGGGAAGTGTCACCCTAACCGGTTTGGCTCAGTGGATAGAACGTCAGTCTGCGGACTCAAGGGTCCCATGTTCGATTCCTGTCAAGGGCATGTACCTTGGTTGTGGGCACATCCCTAGTAGGGAGTGTGCAGGAAGCAGCTGATTGATGTTCTAACTCTCTCTTTCCCTTCCTCTCTGTAAAAAAAAAAAAAAAAAAAAAAAAAAAATATATATATATATATATATATATATATATATATATGTAAGCATGTCCAAACTTGTAGAGAATTTTTTAAAAATATATATTTTATTGATTTTGTACAGAGAGGAAGGGTGAGGGATAGAGAGCTAGAAACATCGATGAAAGAGTCATCGACCAGCTGCCTGACAGGAATCGAACCGGGGACCCTTCAGTCCCCAAGCTGACACTCTATCCATTGAGCCAGACTAGTCTCTGCTGTAGAGAATTTTTTAAAAAAAAGTTTGAGTCAAACAGAAGAAATACCTGGAAGATAGCAGACAGATAAATGTTTTGGAAATACGTTTGCAGTTTCTTCTCTGCATTTAAGGAGCAATGTGAGATTACTCAAAGGTGGGAAAGAGCAAGACGGGCATCGACTGCAGAAGAATTCAGACTGTGCTCTTCAGCGGTGGCCCCCCTTTTGAAGAAGGGGTAGGAAAGGGGGCATTTCAGAGGGGTATTCACAGGAACTATGGTCAGGGCTTGCTTCAGGCAAAGTTACATGCCGGTCAGCCCTTGTTAGGAATGAATGACCAGATCACCATGTGAGGTCACTCTCAACCTTTCGTGCAGAGGGAATTCTGACACATGCTACAACATGAGTGAACCCTGAGCACTTTATGCTAACTGAAAATGTGTCACAAAAAAGCAATTACTGTATGACTGCAGTCATGTGAGGTCAGTCAGGCACAGAAACAGAAAGCAGAAGGCGGTTGCCAGGAGCTGGGGGTGGAAATGGGGAGCTGTGGTTGAATAGGGAGTTTCAGTTTTGCAAGATGAAGAGTTCTGGAGATGGCGGTGGTGATGGTTGCCCAATAATGTAAATGTACTTCACACCACGGCACCATACACTTAAAATGGCTAAGATGGTAACTTTTGTCTTACAATTAAAAAAAATGAAAAGAAGAAAGCTGCTAACAGATTATATTGTACTGTTTTTGACGAGTTTATACATGCCATACGTGTAAGGACATAAGAGATCTGGAAGGAAATGAATATATTAACTGTTAACAGGGGATGGGGGACTTGGGCAGTTTTCGGGGGGCGAGGGGCCCTTCCACTTTTTACATGACCTGCTTGTGCACTGTTTTCAATGGGCATTACTACTCTTGCAGTCTCAGAACCCTGGCAGCAACTGTGGGAATGCATGCTTGTGGTGCGAGGTCCCGTGAAGGCATTTGTGGGACCAACACAGCTGATCTGGATCACTCTCCATGCTGGAGGAATCATAAATTGATTCCTCTTGCCTCAATGAGATAAAAAAAAGACTTACCAAGCCCAGCCAGCGTTGCTCAGTGATTGAGCATCGACTCATAAACCAGGAGATCGGTTCAATTCCCAATCAGGGCACATGTCCAGGTTGCGGGCTCCATCGCCAGTGGTGGTGGGGGCAGGGGGGAGGCAGTTGATGATGTTTTTCTCTCAGGTATCCCTCTCTCTCTCTCAAATCAATAAAAACATATTAAAAAAAAAAACTTATCAGGATTTGGTTTTAAATAATTCTAATACTAAAGTAGAAATTGGGATGCTGTATAATCATACTAACATTTACTGAGCACTCAGTAAGTGCCAGGAGGGTGAGGAAGACACAATTATGACTCCCATTTTACAGATGGGTACATGAAGGAGCAAAGAGAGGAACTTGCCCAAGGCTGTCCAGCTGGTGAACAGCAAAGCTGGGAGGGGCCCCGGGTCCTGCATGACATCAGCTTCATGCTTGGGCCCACTGTCCCCACCCCTCCACCCCCAGAGGCTCCTCCTGGCACCTTCACATTCCTCTGCCCTGAGTAAAAGGAACAGGCTTGTTTTTTCGTTAATAAAGCAGAATAACATTTATTCTTCTCTTAAAACTTTATTTTACATTCTGTAATCATGGAAACTCGGATTAGATATAAATTATGTCCAGCTGAGCTGGTTACAGGCCACGTTAGCATGAGAACAGTTAAGCGGAAGCTTTCTTTTCCTTGTAGGTTGCCATCATTTTCTTGATTTCAGCAATAGCTTTCCCTGGATTCAGCCCCTTGGAAAAAAGAGAAGAGAATCAGTACCAAATGGCAGTGAAGCTGAATAGGAGGAGTGACGATCTTGGGTGGAGCCCCTCCCCCACTGGTGCAGGGTCCAGGCAAAGTGAAAGCAAACCGGGTCTCTAAAGCCCTGAGCCTTGGCTCAGAACTCTCCATGGCCTCTCTGTCCAGATGTTACCAAGGAGAGCCAGTTCTCTCTCTCTCTGCAAAGGGCCCCGTCTTGTTTTATTCCTGGTGTGCCTCCCTGTAGCTGGCTAAGGAGCCCAGGGCAGTACCATGTTCTGAATGCTCAGAGACATCTCAGAAAGAACTTCTCTTTATGCCTACAGCTGGTGGCACAATCAGCCAGACATCTCTAAAGGTTTCACACATTCCCACGATCTGTAGCTCATCCTCAGAAAGCACCACATTCAAGCTCCCAAAGCCGTGGAAGAGGCTCTGGTCCCTCCGGCTCCAATGACCCTGTTTGCTCTCTGCCAGCGCCTCTGGAGCAGAGGCCATCCATCACTGCAGCTGCGAGGGCCGCCAGCCACCTACCTTGGGACAGGTCCTGGTGCAGTTCATGATGGTGTGGCAGCGGTAGAGGGAGAAGGGGTCCTGCAGTTTGGCCAGGCGCTCCTCCGTGAACTCGTCCCTGGAGTCGATCATCCAGCGATAGGCCTGGAACCAGGGGCTGGTAAGCTGAGCTGTCCACCCTCCAGGCCAGAGCAGCCTCCGCTCACCTCAGCTCCAGGAGTGCATACAGGGAACTCACTCAGCTTTGCCGCCCTGTCTGCACAGTCTAACTCTCGCCACCTCTCAGTGAAAGGCTCCCAACTCTTTCTGAATTCCTCTCGATCAGTGATCCCCACAAACCGGAACCACAGTGCACCCGGCACTCTGGGGCTTAAGTGTGTGCGGTCAGGCATCGTCTTCTAATTATTACGTTGCTCTTTAGCTTCCTACCCAGATCATAAATTAGCGAAGGCAGGGGCTGAGTCAAATGACTCTATCTGTCTTCATAGCACCTACTCCCTGTCTTTGAATAAACCGATGACTTCACAGCCCTGTCTAGAGATCGTCTTTGCTTCACTTACTGATTCTTTTCATTAGAGTATGTCTCCCAGAAGCCTGAGACCAGCCAGCTGAAAACTGGCTGACCCCCATCACCGGGCCTGCTCTGCAGTGTTACTGGAGGACTTCTATGCTCCCAGCAACTCAGGTCACTGGCTCAAGGGCCAACTATGAATGCACCTCGCTGTCAATCTCTAGCCTGGCTGGGAATCAACACTGCCACATGGTCACCCAACCACATAACTTCTCTTTTTGTGGGAAATTGAGAAATGATAAGTTGTTTTGCGAGCTGCTCTCAGCCTGGAAAGCACAGACCATAAATCTAACGGATAAGCTTTCTGGGAACAAAGACAGTGACTTTCTTTGCAGTGAACTAGTCTTATCGTGAAAGGCAATACCACTTTCTCTTCTGAGCAACTCCTACAGCCAGTCCTCCCGGCTTCCGTTAGCCTGGAAACCATTTCCAACCTGAGAGCTGGCGGCTCCCCTCAGCGGCACTTCCCTGCCCCCTGCTCGCGTGTTGGAATCCCTGTGAGGGAGGTGGGAGCCATGTGGGCAGGCAAGAGCCAGCTGCATAGGAAACATGTGCAGGGGACAGTGAAGTACTGGCAAGGCATTGTGTGCCCACCAGCAGGCCACCACCCAAGGCGGGCCCCTCGCCACACCAGAACAAAGGCACTCTGCAGATGAAGCTCTAGGTTTACTGAAAGCCAAGTGGAGACAAAGCAACCTATGACCTTGTTTGAATGGGTGCAAATCAAGGAAGCCGTTGCCCTCAGAATGTCTGGTTGCCAACAACTTATTGTGCACTTGGATTTCTGGACAGTTTTTTCAGTTTTTCTTGAAGCAATTACGGAGCGCCTTACCTGCATCAGAACAGCAGGTCCCAGGTATTTGTCTCCGTTCCACCAGTAGCTGGGGCAGCTGGTGCTACAGCAGGCGCAGAGGATGCACTCGTACAGCCCATCCTGTGCGGGAGGAGGAAGCGGAGTCAGGAGCCCGGGACTGAAGGGCCCACCGTGTCCTTAGTTGACTAACTGTGATATTTGGGGTTAGAGCATGAACAAAGCATCCGCTCGCATGTGCGTTTTCTTGGGAAAACCCTAGGAGTAGTTTGCAGAGATTTACCAGAGCCATACAAAAGGGCCTGGACCTGCAATGTAATCATTTGCTGGATTACAGCCCAGAGCTTAAGTCCAAGAACACTGTACTTATCCTTTAATTATGAATGCCTCTCTTATCTAAAGGAGAAAAATGAAAAAACAAAACACTCCATGAAAACAACAAACAACAAAAAACAAAACTACACAGCCCTGGACATTTGCTCAGTGGATAGGGCACTGGACCACAGATCAAAGGGTCATAGGTTCGATTCCTGGTCAGGGGCGCATGCCAGGACTGCAGGTTCAATCCCTGTCCCTGGCTGGGGCACGTGTGAAAGGCAACCAATTGATGTGTCTCTCTAACCTTGAAGTTTCTTCCTCTCTCCCCACCCACCTCCTTTCTACTCTCTCTCTCTCTCTAAAAAATTCCCAATGGGAAAAATACCCTCAAGTGAGGATTAACAAACAAACAAAAATAAAAAAAAGATACTAACCCCCAACCAATCAATCAACCAACCAACCAACCAAATGCATTACCTAGAATACAGTCTAGGAGAAACAGAGAGGGCCTGGTGTGAAGGCCTCTAGTAGTCTGTACCAGCCTCTGGCTGCTCAGCACAGAGACATCAGGTTTCCAATGGGAACCAGCATCATCCTACATAATAGCCAACTTGCACCGAGTACTTCATGCTCTACCGACTTTACCTTCTTTGATGATCACAATAACCCTATGAGACTCCCATTTTACAGGTAAGGAACTGAGGCTCAGAGAGGTCAGGTCACTTGCCCAGGGCCACAGAGCTGGGATGGGACCCAGGCAGCCTGACTCTGGAAGCCCTGCTCCTTAACACCTGTCACATGACTCATCTGCCCAACAGGGTGTGCACACTGGGCCTGCAGATTCTGGGGACAGAAACTGACCAAAGGCAGCCAAACAGAAGGGCACACCGCCGTCTGAAGTGACAGCTGATGACAGAGGACAAAGAGCTGTTGGTCTTGATTGAAACCTTATGAGTCTTCAAAAAAAAAAAAAAATCTATGCTCGGGCAGCAGGTAAGAGTATAAACTGGCCCCACTGGTCTATAAAGCGTAAAGTAACAGGATTAAGAGCCTTAATTATAGTCATATTCTTTAGTCTACTTTAGAAAATCTAACAAGAAAGTAAAATTTCTTGGACAGAACTTGAAGAATAAAGATGTTTATCACACCTTCTTTGCAATAACAATGTTAAGAAGTACTCTCTTGTTCAGCGACAGTGGGAGTGGTTAAGAATACACGATGTTCACACTGAAGCAGTAGAAAGTCAAGTGTAAGCTCAAGCTTCATGCTTATGAAGAACTTCTAAGAATGTGGGAAGATGCTCAAATAACATAAAGGAAAAATGCGGACACAAAAGCATGTTTGCCTTTTGACCCCAGCTACATAAAATCACGAAAAAAGTTATGTTCAGTGTATTAATTTAAGGCAGTGAAAAATGCTAAGTAAATACATGTTTGGTATTTAAATGAGTAAATTTTGATTATCCAGAAAACTTGCTTCATTCCCTAATAAGCCCACATCAAGGAGATGTTTACTAGCTGCACGCTATCCGAGCATGAGGGAGACTGGTTGGGCCAGAGCGGCCAGTTCCAGCCTGGACCTGGGATGTGTCCGACTCCTTCAGAGTCAGAAGTGGGGGCTGTCCGGACTCACATCCCCGTGCTGCCCTTGTCCTCTCCACGTCAGAGCTGGGCAGTCTTAGCAGGACTCTCCTTTTTAAATGTTTTATGGGGAAGAGGAGAGGGGCTCAATATTTCCCAAGATAAAAAAAATAGAATTTCTTTATTCATTCACACAACTAATGTGTCTTGGTAAAATAACCTGTGCCAGGGTCTTTGATCCAGGAGTAAGACGCCATCCCTATGAGGGCTCAGTCTGAGGGACAGGGATGTAAACCACTCTGAGGTTCAGCGCGGCACTGGAGGGGCACACCAAGTGGTGACCGTGGAAGCACATGTCCTTGGCCCCGTGGTTGGGACCCACCTCCATGTGGTCCCCTCCCCACCTCTCCCGCTCCACAGGACACAGTGGGTGCAGGGGTGAGCATGCAAGCAGACACTTTTTGAGAGGAGGGGAAAGCAGCATGGGAGAAGGAGAGTGAAAACTTGGTAATAACTCCTTCACTTCCAAAGACTCCCTAGCCTCTCACAGAGCACAACTCCAAGAGAGTGCGAAGGCAATCAGCAGACGTGCGATGGCAGGAGAGAACACAGGGGTTCCAGGCCCAGTTGACCCATTTTCACCCTTCCCTATTTCATTCCCACCTGTAAGACAGTGTTAAAGTGCAACTCTCATTTAGCGGTCACTCCTACAGAAGGGGCAGTTCCCACACCAGCTTCCGTAGAAGACAAGCATCTTCAACACGGTAACAATCTGCTCCTAGCCAGGGCAGGCGCTCCAGCTCCTGGTCTGCTCTGCCCTCCGTGGGTTCACACTGCCCACCGGCCCTGAGGATGGGTGTCCAACGCTTGGGCGGATGCTTTTGAAGTTCCTTCCAGAACACACTAGAAGGTCTGCATTACCTCATGCACTTACCTGCCCCGACCACTCCTACCCCCTCAAGACACACTTCCTGGAAAACATCTTTGCAATGAAATTCCGCAAGTCAAGATAATAAATGGGGGAAATTACCAGTTTATCGCGATCTTCTATGGACTGCAGATACTGCTGTTTGCCTTCCTGGGATTCATCCTTCTTCTTCAAATAAGGCTCAATGGATTTGTACTGAGCGTAGAAGTTGCTCAAATCCTGAGGGGAAGAGGGAGAAGTGTCAGGTTCTACATCCCCTTGCTCTTCACCCATTTCTCGGCCTACTTTCCTGCCTCTGACAGACTGAAGGCAGACCTTCCTGTGGCAGGATCCGAGCAGAGATGCAGAGGGAGAAATGGTCACAATGCTGAGAGCTGTCAGCAAGTCCTCTCTTCACCCCGGAACCTCATCCTCCCTGCCCTTGAAAATGCCCTCAGCGAAGATGGTCAAATACAGGACGGTAGAAACGAAAGTAAAATGGGTATCAACTGTTGCTGAATTCTTTGCAGTTATGGCCAAATTCTTCGTTTCTGGGACTGTTGCAATTTTGTGCCCTGTTATTCCCAAAAAATCTTCACCAAATGAGCTGCTGGAAGATCTGTTTATGTTCCAACAGTCAAATTGCTGAGTTAAACTCAGACAGGAAAAAACTGCCCGAAAGAACTAATAGCATAACCTGAACATCCCTCTCCCCATACCCTTGCAAAAAACATGGGATGGGATGCAGGGACTCACAGGAACCAGGTCCTTTATCACATACATATGTGGAAGAGGGTAGATTTTTGAGACTTTGTTGAGGTTGGTGTCAATCCTCCGGGTGCAAGCTAGAGTGTTGCCTCCGTTGATGTTCATTGCACAGGAGCCACAGATACCTGAGAGACAAAATACAGCCGACACGTCCTCACCCAGCTTCCGGTTCAGTCACCCAGCCTCAGGTTCTTTCCTCTGGACTGCAGCCAGTACTCTACCACGGGGAGCAGAGCTGGCAGGCAGCACAGTCTGGCAGAGGTGCTGCGGCCTTTCTCCCTCCTCCTTATCGAGAACGCAGATCCACGGGCTGCAGTTCCAATTCCGGAAACATTCTGCGATCATGAGGCAACCTTGAGGGTGGATGGCGCTAGGGCAGAAGGAGCTGGGATCCAGCTGGCACCACGGAGTTCCCCGCGCCAGTCCTAGCTGCATGCTTCATGTGTTTTGAGAGAAAATCAGCCAGTATTTTTAAAAGCCACTGTCTCTGGCCATATGCCCCATCTCTGGTCTCGGAAGCCAGTGTTATTTGAGCACGAACTCTAACAGCTTACAATATCCCCAAACAAACTGACATTGTCTTGGTCACATAAGGCCGAGGCCTGGCTACAGATTACCCAGAGGCAGCTGTTACTCTATTGTCTCCACCAGACAAGCAGCCGGAGGATATGAAACCCACAAAAGCTGCCCGAGCACTAACTTCCCAAGGAGAAGAATAAACTAATGTCAAAGCAAAGCAAAGCAAAGCAAAGCAAAGCAAAGCAAAGCAAGCAGAAACGAGGTGCTGACCAAGGGACCCTACAATGAGGATTTTCTTAGTCTGAACTCACTTCCTGTGCATGGAAATTTCCGAGGTATATCAGAGTTTAAAATTGGCTATGCAAGTTAAACCCCTGGAACTGCTTCTCTGGAGCTGTATTTTGATCATCAGGCCAGAGAAATGGGATTACTCATGGAACTTGCACTGGGTTACCATTTTTTTATTTTAATTTCTTTATTGATTATAAGTTATTACATAAATGTCCTTATCCCCCCATTACCTCTCTATCCCTCACCCCCCTGTTGTCTGTGTCCATTGGTTAGGCTTATATGCATGCACACAAGTCCTCTGGTTGATCTCTCCATTTACCCCACTCTCCCCTACTTTCCCTCTGAGGTTTGACTGTCTGATCGATGCTTCTCTGTCTCTGGATCTGTTTTTGTTCTTCAGTTTATGTTGTTCATTATATTCCATAAATGAGTGAGATCATGTGATATTTATCTTTCACTGACTGGCTTATTTCATTTAGCATAATGCTCTCCAGTTCCATCCATGCTGTTGTAAATGGTAAGAACTTCTTTTTTACTGCAGCATGGTATTCCACTGTGTAGATGTATCACAGTTTTTTAATCCACTCATCTACGGATGGGCACTTAGGCTGTTTCCAAATCTTAGCTATGGTGAATTGTGCTGCTATGAGGGTTACCACTTTTATAAGACTCTCCCCTCTCTTCTTCTCAAGCTTAGTAAGAACGTAAGAGAACATACAGATCTATTTCTAAAGTTTTAGGCAAATACTCCTCAAGAGATTGAATAGTATCGATATATTGGTGTACACCTGGCATTCAACTGTGTTTCTATTTAAACATAGCATTGTATTTTAAAAGAAATGGTACATAATTTAAAAAATAAATCCAATGAATCTTCTCTTAAAAAAGGTTCCCCTGGAAATTCTCTTAATAAGTAATAAGGGAGCAGCAATGAACTTCATCTGCCTGGGGTACTTTAGTCCAGATGGCCACACCCGATATTCTTGGCTCTGCGTCTGGGGGAAGGGGGGAGAGAAGGTTACTGAAAAGCATCTCCATTTCCTGAGTTGCCAGGATTTATGTGGAGAAAGTTGGTGTTTAATTACAGCAGAATGTTCCCTGGACAGCAGGACCCAGCCCAACTATCAAAATATCTGTCAGCGTTTGCTACAATAAACCCAATCCTGTAAGATTGGAGAAATCAAAACAGATGTCTTAGAAATAGGTCTTGAAATGCACAGCAGGACAAACATAAAAAGCGATGGGCCAATGTTTACAGTGACTTTTCCTTTCTGGAAGGTTATTTTAGGAAGAGAGTTCAATCCCAGCCCTCGGTCTTGGCCCAAGCTACGATTTTTGGCTTTTTCCTGGGTTTTCCAAGCCCGGCCAGACTGTATTGCCTGAAATGCAGTTCTGGAATCGGCCAGCTCAGACCGACTCCTGGCTTCCCAGCTCACCAGCTGTGTGTCCTATCAGAAGTCCCTACCCTTCCTGGACTCAGTTTCTTCATCTGTACATCGAGTGTAAATATAACAGCACTTCTCTCTCACACACAGAATGCACAGAACGGAGCCTGGCACACACACGGAGCTGTGCTCCACAACCATCAGGCCAGCCGGGCTTCATGACACCCCTGTGTGATTTTTGCCACATCCGAGTACCACCTGAACAATTATTTAGGGGTTTTCTTTAAATCAAATCATTTTTACTTAAATTCGTATTAAAAACCATTCCTGTATCACCGCTACACTGTCAGCAGTAATTGTGTTTTCCTAATATGTAGATAAATGCATAACTATTATGGCAAAAAAGGCTAGCCTGCACACTGCCGGAAATCAGCTCAGGTGGCACCAGCAGCACACTATGGGACACGCTTTCCCATCCAGAACATTCCTACTGAGCACCTGCTCCGTGCACATGCAATGCTGGGAGCTGCAGGGACGCACACGCCTCCCTGATGGACAAAAGTTACATGCACATAAGCACCAGTTACTCTCTCTACTGCCCCAGTACATGAGCCCCGCAGAGCAGAGGCAGGCGGCTAGCGCACTGAGCTAGTCCTGGAAGGCAGCAGCGGCTCTCAGCACGGCCAGATACAGTGTCCACGTGACAGAAAGCTCTCGGAGGGAAGCAAACTCAGAAACCAGAACTTGTACCAGCCAAAATTTCCCACCCCTTTACCCAAGAAGAGGAAGTGCGATGCACAGCCAGGTCAGCTGGCAGAGCCCTGCGGCTGTTCTCTGGGTATTCCTGTCAGCTCTGGCCGGCCCTTTGGGGAGCAAGAACCTAAGTAGGCGGGGCCTCACCGGGAAGGAGGTGCTTACCTTCTCTGCAAGATCTTCGGAAGGTCAAGGTAGAATCCATTTCATTCTTAATCTTGATTAGAGCATCCAACACCATAGGACCGCATCTGACCAAAACCAAAACAAGAACGGAAGAACCCAGTTATACTTAAGCGAAGCTCACTCTCCCTACACTTTTATCATAATAAGATGAGCTGCTTGAACCAGCTGCTTTTATTACCCATTTGGGGCACTTACAGAATTTCCCCATTTAATTTTTGCACACTCTTACACATTTAGAGTTCTATTTTGGTGATCACACTGAATGTACATTTCTAGGAAATAGAAAGCTAAAGTAGGAAAATATTTAGGTTAGAAAACAACTTCCACATACTGGCAGTTTTTCTTTTTTCTTCTAAAGTTCCCTGCAAAGCTTTCCCAAATAATTTATTTCAAATTTAAAAATTTCAGAATCCAAACAACAAGTAGCTTTAAATGGTTTGTTAATAATGCACAACCGTAACAAAAACATGGTAGAGAATAAAAGATCCATCGCCCACAGTCCCCTCATCTCAAGCACTGAGTGCTCCAGGCGCCTGGGTGCAGTGAAAGGCATAAGGGCTGGCGTGGCTCAGTGGTTGAGCATCGATCTCTGAACCAGGAGGTCACGGTTCGATTCGCAGTCAGGGAACATGCCCAGGTTGTGGGCTCCAGGAGGCAGCTAATTAATGATACCCTCTCATTGATGTTTCTATTTCTCCCTCCCTACTCTCTGAAATAAAAAGATTAAAAAAAAAAAAGGGCAGCAGCCCCGGCCTTGGGATCCAGAGTGCAGGCCTGGCATTTGAGATCCTGGCCTGAATCCTGCCTTGGATATTTACTAGGTTTGCAGGCAAATCAATTAGCTGCCTGTCTGTCAAGCCCAGAGAGCAACACCTCCATCTCACAGGACTGCTGCTGTGAATGAATGAATACATGAGGAAAGAAACAGAGAGAGCACTGCCTGCCACATATATTTAGTTTAACAATTATCCTTATGCAGAATCTGTGATTCTATGAAAATGGCTTCCTGTCTGAGCCGCATTTATCTGTAAAATGGAATCAATAGTGTATCACAAGACTGTAATGAAGATTAAATAAAAACTTGCAATTTTATGTGGAGTACACAAAAATGCTCAACAAATCTTATTTCCTGGTTGCCACCTGATTCCTTTCAGCATTTCCTTATGCATGGGATTTAAAAAAATATGCCCCCTCCCCAAATATCCTTTAGCATCACCTGTATTTCTTTTTCTCCAGTTTTATGGATATAAAATCAAACATAACACTGTGTAAATTCAGGGTGTATGAGGTGACAATTTGACTTATGTATATATTGTGAAATGATTAGCACAATAAGGTTAGTTGACACATTTGCATTATCCGTATTTCTTTAAAAAAAAATATTTTATTGATTTTGTACAGCGAGGAAGGGAGAGAGATAGTTAGAAACATCGATGAGAGAGAGTCATCGATCAGCTGCCTCTTGCACACCCCCTACTGGGGATATGCCCGCAACCAAGGTACATGCCCTTGACCGGAATCGAACCCAGGACCCTTCAGTCCCCAAGCCGACGCTTTATCCACCAGCAACTTGCAAACACCCTTTTTTTTGCACTGGACTTTTGTCAACACTGGAAAATGTTACCTTTAAAAACCTCTGCTATTCTCAGTGTTTGAGCTCTTGGAATACTAACTACAATGGTTGAGTATTTGTCATAAATACATTAATTTTTCTTCACTCACCAATTATTCATTGCAAGTCTTCTGTGTGCCAGGTTCCTTTCTAGGTGCTGGAGACACACCAGAGAACAACACAAATGAAGCTTCCTGACCAGGGGCTAATTCTAGCCACTCAGTCTGTGCATGGTCTTTGACTCTGTCTACTGAGGTCCTGGGAAATTGTTTTTAAAGATCTGAGCTTATCATCTTATAAAGGGAAAACTCTTCTTATATTTTTCTCTACTATTACTCACTTCCAATACCTCACTTCTCATCACCAAACATGTGCGTGTTTCTCCCATACTAAGCAATTCTGCAACATCAGTTAGGTGTTCCACAGTGTAACTCAATCCCAACATTCCAGCCAGGTTTATGGTGTTTATCATCACTATATAACACAAAGGTCCAGATACATAAAATCAACATGAAAACATTCAGGATTCTAAGACTGATATTGTGTTAAATGACTTAAAACACTATGCATAAAGCTAACTCTACCATGATTCCTAGAAAGTGGTCATGCTTTGATTTGGGGGAAAAAGAATCTTACAAAGTTATCCAGGCACTCACATCATTCTCGTATTTCTTTTTTGTTCCTTTTCTTCTTCTCCTTTTAAAAAAAGTTATTATTTATTATTTATATTTCTTCTCACTCTTGTTTTAAGGAGATGGTAAGTTCCAGAGCCAGTGGATGACCTGAGTTTTAAACCTTCCAAGGGCATGAAGAGCACGTCCCTGAGTCAGATGAAGAGCTCACTTCACTGATCAAACACCCAGCTTTCACCGAGATACTCACTTATTCAAATCAATTTCATAGGTTTGCATACGAGGTTTATCTCCAGTCTTGTCTGGATCCCATCGGTAGATGGCAAATTTCTTGATTCGGGGAGCGGTGGCAGCAGCTGTCTGGGCCCCTCGGCAGGCCTGAAATTTAAAAAGTTCACAAGAAAAAAAAATTCTTTAAAATGCAAGATAAATCCTTCCACTTAGCTGCACTATTAACTGCAATACTGAATACAAACCTGCACATTACTGACAGTCTTCTTGGGGAAGGCAGCCAGCCAGTATTCAACAAATACTAAGCACTTCTCATATGCCAGACATGCCAATTCATACTCGTTTTTACAGTCACTATTTATTATTGCCAGGTACTGTATTAAATGCTTTATATGAATGATTCCACTGAATCTGCATTTTAGTTTAATTTTTAAAAATTATTTTTATTGATTGTAGAGAGGAAGGGAGAGGGAGAGAGCTAGACACATCAATGATGAGAATTCACTCCCCACTGGCGATTGAGCCCAAAACCTAGGCATGTGCCCTTGGCATGAATTGAACCTGAGACCCTTCAGTCCACAGGCTGATGCTCTATCCACTGAGCCAAGCTGGCTAGGGCTGAATCTGCATTTTAAAGATCAGGAAAAAGAGACACAGAGATCAAGTTATGGGCCCACATTTACAGAGCTGAGTGGGGCCAGAATTGGAATCCAGGTCTGACTGACTCCACAACCCGTGTTCCTAAAACACTGTACTATCCCATTTATTTGTGAATATTCCCTGGCTTTTTCTTGGTGCTGTTTTCTCTTTATGTCCTGAACTTCCTGAGGGCATGTGTATCAGTGTTCTCCAGAGAAATAAAACCAGCAGTGTGTACATATGTGTGATACATATGCACACATATACATACATACATATATATGCACTTATACAGATATAAAAATAGGTTTAGAATAAGGAATTGGTTCATGTAATTATGGAGGTGACAAGTCCCAAGATCTGGAGAGTGGATGACACAGCTCTAGTCCAAGGCCGGCAGGCTTAAGGTCCAGGAAGACTTGACGTTTCAGTCTGAGTCCAAAGACAGGAAAACCCTAATGCCAGTTTGACAGCAGCCAGGCAGGAGGAATTCCCTCTTATTTGAAGGAGTAAGAGGGAATTTGTTCTAATCAGCCTTTCAACTGATTGGATAAGGGTCACCCACATTAGAGCAGGCAATCTGCATCACTGTTTTTCGATGTAAATGTTAACCTCATCCCAAAACACCCTCACAGAAACACCAGGATAATTTTGACCAGTCAAGTTGACACATAAAATGAACCGTCACAGCATGGGACAGGCTGTTTTACTCCTCCCAGCATCCCTGGTCTAGGCCTTTACACACTGCAGCTCAACCCATGATTAGGAAAGATTGAAGAAAAGGGCAAAAACTGAGTGTTATCCTAATGTAAAAATGTGTTTTATTTTATTTTATTATTATTATTATTATTTTTAATATATTTTATTGATTTTGTACAGAGAGGAAGGGAGATAGAGAGTTAGAAACATTGATGACAGAGTGTCATCGATCAGTTGCCTCTTGCACACCCCCTACTGGGGATGTGCCCGCAACCAAGGTACATGCCCTTGACCAGAATCGAACCCGGGACCTTTCAGTCCCCAAGCTGACGCTCTATCCATTGAGCCAAACCGGTTTCGACAAAATGTGTTTTATTTTAAATGTACCTTAAAAGGCTGAGTAGTGCAACCTATATCAAGCCACTAAAAATAAAAAAACACCCCTAAGTCAACAGCTGAGCCCTCCCCATCTCACAATCCTTGCAGCCCTTTTCCATTTAGGCAGAGACCACTCCAAGTCCTCTAAGCTTCTACTATGGTGACGAGGAGGGGGATCCTGTCAGTCCAAGTTGCAATTACTAGTATAAGGTGAGCCCTCAATTTTTATATAGAAAATTCAGACTATAATCTCAGCTAACTAATTATCTTATAAATTGTTAAAGAAAGTAAACACTCTGAAGGTTAACTGAGTAATTACAAGAAAGTAATGCAGTTTATTACTTGCTGGCAAAAAGTGCCACAAATTAAGTGAAGCTGTAAAGAAAAAGATCAGCTTTCAGTAGGAAAGTGTACAAAGAAAATGAAAGTGAAAGTGAAGATGAAAGTTGTATTTTACCTTATTACCAACCTGGCTAGATCATTAATGAAAGGAAAGTCCTTACAAATGAACATTTTCCATGAGGGACTCCATTTTGTAAATGGACAGGAACGTTTGGCTACTGCCACCTTGTGGCAGTGAAGAGGAAGTGAAAAGAAAAGATTCCTGAAGATTGCTCCAGCAGCTTTTGCAGCTTAGTGCCCACCAGCATTTTTGTTTTAGTGAGATTGAAGGAGGTATAATTCATTACATGTATAATTCATACAGTCAGGCGCCACTTAATGATGGGTTCTGAGAAAGGCATTGTTAGGCAAAAATGCATCTCTGTGCGAGCATCCCAGAGGCACTTACACAAACCTGTGTGGTGCAGCCCGCTCCCCACCTCGGCGCTAAGGTGCAGCCTGCTGATCCTGGGCTGCAAGCCTGCACAGCAGGCTCCTGTACTGAATTCTGTAGGCCACGTAGCATCTGTGTGTCTCAGCATAACTAAACACGAAAAGGTACAGTAAAATACAGTGTAAAAATTTTAAAGCCATAGCTGGTTTGGCTTAGTGGGTAGAGCGCTGGCCTTCGGACTGAAGGGTTCCAGGTTCAAGTCCAGCCAAGGGCACATGTCTGGGTTGCAGGCTCGATCCCCAGTACGGGATGTGCAGGAGGCAGCCAGTCAATGATTCTCTCTCATCATTGATGTTTCTATCTTTCCCTTCCTCTCTGAAATCAATAAAAAATATATTAATTTTTTTTTTTTTTTTTACAGGGCACGGACTGTGACTGGAGCCTGCGGGACTGGAAGATGCTCGGGGAGTCAGTGAGTGAGTGGGAAGGCCTAGGGCCTTACTGGACACACTGCAGACTTAATCCCACTGTCCCCCAAGTCCTCCCCGGCTTCCTTCCGACAGGGTCAGAGAACACGGAGCTGTCAGCGCTGCCCCGTGAACTGGGTGGAGATATGGAGGGGAAACTGGCTGGTGGGACGCCGAGCACCATAACAGTGACCGTCAGGAGGGTGTGAATGGCGGCCTGAGGGTCAGCAGGAATGAGAAGCCAGGACAGAAGGGGAAGGAACATAGCACTGCCAGGGCCACGTGGGTGGCTCCTGCCTGCTGGAGCAGCGGTCAGATCCAGGAACTTTGTGGTGGTTCAGGATAAAGAGGGTGTTAACACGGAGAGAGTGTAGGACCCAGAACTCACTGTTCTGACTTTGGAAATTTGTTTGAGTTCCACTGGCCCTATCTGGCATAAAAGGCTCTCTCTGGCATGGAGCTGGTAGAAGAAATAAAACGATCTATGCTTTTCACCATCACAACCTGACAATGTTCCCAACGTCCAGGGACAGGCTGGCCCCACAGGGGAAGGGAAAACCTTTACGGGAGCGGCAGTGGACTTCACACGGGTTCAGGTGGCTCCCGTGGGCCTGCGTCCGTGGACAGGACCTCAGGTCCTCACCAGCGACCTACAGCCGGGTCCTCCTAAGCCCACCAGCCGGGCCTGGGGCTGCTGCACCCTCTGACCATGCAGCGCTGGGGGGCGGGCTCCTTGGGGAGGAGACAGGCCAGGGACTGAGGGACTGGGGTGCAATCTGTGCGCTCAGAAAGGAGGTGCTGTGAGCGAGAGGGAGTCTACTGCCAAGCTCCAGCCGCTGCTCCCGTTAGATACCCCCTTTCCCTGCCACCGAACCACATAGCCTTCATTTCTTACCAGAAATTCAGTTCCATTATAATCCCATGGGACCACTGTTATGTGGACACATGACTAACTTGGTGAGTTTTGGTAAAGTGGAATAACCACTACCACAATTGTGATAAAACATTTCCATCCAGAAAGTCCTTCAGGTTCTTTTACCATCAGTGTCTTTCCTTTCCCCTTGCAAATGGTCTGCTTTTTATCACTACAGATTTATGTGAAATTTATAGAATTTCATATAAATGCAATCAGAGAGTACATCTGTGTCTAGCTTCTTTCACTTAACGTAATGTTTCTAATTCATGCATGTTGTTGGGTATATCCAGTCTGTTGCTTTTTCAAAAAGTTAATGCTTCTCATTTTGAAATAATTGTAAAATATGAATTTATAAGAAATACTGAGATCCCACATACTCTTTACTCAGTTTTCCCCAATAGTAACATTGTACAAAACTACAGCACAATATCACAACTAGAATACTGACATACACACAGTCAAGACAGAACATTCACCACAAAGGTCCCCAGTGTTGCCTTTTACAGCCACACCCATGGCCCTCATGCCTCTCTCCCTTACTCCTTAACCCTAGCAATCGGAATCTGTTCCCATTTCTATAATTTGGTCATTTCAAGAATGTCACAGAAATGCAATCATCTAATATGCAACCTTTTGGGATTGGCTTTTTTTTTTTTCATTCAGCATTAATCCTCTGGAGAGCCTAGCTGTATGTGCCTCGCCTCAATAGTTGTTTCATTTTATTACTGAGTATGGTCTCTGGCAGTGGTTCTCAACCTTCCTAATCCGCGACCCTTTAATATAGTTCCTTATGTTGTGGTGACCCCCAACCATAAAATTATTTTCGTTGCTACTTCATAGCTGTAATTTTGCTACTGTAAATGAATCAGAATGTAAATATGTGTTTTCTGATAGTCTTAGGCGACCCCTGTGAAAGCGTTGTTCGACCCCCAAAGGAGTCTGGATCCACAGGTTGAGAACCGCAGGTCTACGGTTTGACAAACCACTGTTTGTTTAGCCACCCACCCACTGAAGGACATTTGTGAATAGGTTTCTGTGTGAGCATAAGTCTCAATTTCTCTGGAACAAATGTCCAGGAGTAATTGCTGGGCTATATGGCAGTTGCTTGTTTATTTTTTTTTTAAGAAACTGTCAAACTGTTTCCAGTGGGTGGTCACTGGGCTAAGGTAGGCGGTAGGAGGAGAGGGACAAAATGTCTTTTAAGAAACATAAATTAAAAAAGTTTTAACCTGGGAATGTGGGGTTATCAGCTATGGTTCTAAAGCCTGATGTA